TTCGCCACGTAAGTGTGCATTTTTATTGACCAATGTTATGGCTTAGGCTGATTATATATTGTGGTCATTTTCTAGGCGGTTGGTAAATCCTTTATGAGTTTATTTACTCAGATTTTACACCACATATGCCATATATTTCCAGGTGTGGTGAAACCATGTGTCTTCTAGGGACTTAAGCACATCTGTTAAAGCAGTGTGCGCATGGCGTATGCCCAATACTTTGGAAATTTCTTTATTCACAATATACAAGCTTCTTTATAGCTATTTTGCTATATCACTCATCATATTTTACAAAGCAGTTGGTATATCACTCGGATCATGTTATTTGGAGGATTCACACCGCATATGCTATATATTGATATCAAGTCACTTGGTTGATTACGATTATCAAAACCACTCGGTTGGTTGGATTATTTATTCCTTGACTATATGCTTGGTTTGTTCAATTAACCACATTGTCGGGGGCTACACCTATTAGGTGCATCTAGTCGGTGCACCTGACTTTATTTTCCAGCCCTCCACAGTCTTCAGATTTGGTAAAAGTACTCGGGAGACCATGACAAAGATGATTGAAGCACTCGGCTTTGGAGTAATCTGGTTCGAGAGAAGATTATCTTTTCGACTGCGAAGGTCTCAGGGGCTACTGTGGATATTATGGGTACCCCATACCCATACGGCATGGTTATCCGACCAGTCATAGGGGATAACTTATATCTATAGAATATGTAATAGATCATGACTCGGGTATTACGTTTCCTTATATATTACGGAACAGCCTAAAGTCCTGGTTTGATAATATTGTAAAGTAGATTTAGGAAACCGATACCGTATTGGTTAAGGTTTCTATCTTGTAATCCTGCCCCCCACCCTATATAAGGTGGGCAGGAGGCCCTCTAGGGGGCATGAGACAACCTGATCGTCAGATCTATAATACACCCGGCGGATTCAAATCCCCAAACAGGAGTAGGGTATTACCTCTCATTGAGAGGGCCCGAACCTGTCTAAATCCTTTGTCTCCACATCCATCCACTTTTAGGTCTCGTGCGCTACCCCGTTTTATTATTGCCGAAATCATGTTTCGACACCCTGGTTCTTCTAAATGTCCTTTTTCCCCATTACCGCTATGATCCGGTGTAACTGCACAACAGTTTTAAAATTAAACATTTACCAATATTGTGTCTGAAAGAAGTGCGCGAGACTTAACATGGATTTGAATCAGATGTGATAGTGTGACTGCAATTTATGCAATCTATGACCGCTTATTAGATTGGGTCCAATGGTCAATATGCACCCTGGTAGTGTAGATCACTGTGGCAAAAATTGTTTACTTTTGTGTTGGCACTGTAGCCAATAATCTGGTTCATTCATCAACAAAATGGATATAGTCGCAATTGCGTGCCATAGCTTAACTTGTAGGCGGCTCTATTAATTCAAATTGTGCCTTAACGTAGCATAGAGGTGGACAAAAAGCGCAAAGCTCATGGCTTAGATCAGCTTGTAGCGATCTCGACTCAGATAGGCTCGAACTCGTAATCTTAATGAGTCAGGCCAGGTTAGATTTTTAACTCATAACCTTAACGAGCTAACTCGCGAGCTCCTCGTTTAGCTTGTTAGTACAAGATATCACCACATCTTTATATACTTAGTACTTCTTAACTAGTGCTTAGATTTTTAATTACATCAAAATTATTCGTATTTAGTGAGTTCTTCATTAGTTTGTGTTTATTATTATGTTAATATATGATAAATTTGAAATTATCGATATGATATAAATGAGATAGAGCTTGTTAACGAGCCTAATGAGCTTAACAGCTCACGACCCGAACCGAGCTAGTCTTTTAGCTCAATGTTAATGAGCCGAGATGACTCGTACTAAGATAACGAGTTTTAACGAATTGAGCCTTAACGAGTCTAGCTGGTTCGTTATCCAGCCCTATTTAGTGGTGGCTAACGAGCCAACTCGGCTCGACTTGTAAAAACTCGTTAAGTTAGCGAGCTAGCTCGGGTTGACTTGTTAACATAATGAGTTAAAAATGGAAAGCGACTCGACTTGTTAAAATAACAAGTTAAAAATGAAAGCAACTCGACTTGTTAAAAAGCCCAAGTCGACTCATTAAACTCGTTACATCGAAATACATGGTTTAAAATTCATATACATGGGGCAAAGCGAAGTTTGTCCCTCGCGTCGACCTCGCGCGGCGGCTCGGGGGCGAAACCCTAGCCGCCACCGCCCCTCCTCCTCCCTCCTCCCTGCTTCGCCGCCGCCGGAGCTCGTCGCCGGCAAAGCCGGGCGACGCGCTGGGATGGCGGCGGCGGGGTAATCTCCCTCGACTCCATCTCGCCCCGGCGCGGGTGTGGCGACGATGGCGGCGGGACGGCGAGGTCGCGGCGGCGGGACGGCGAGGTCGCGGCGATGGCGTGGTGGTGGGGCTCCCCGCGGCGATGGCAGCGCGGCGGTGGGGCTCTGCGCGGCTCCGTTGAGGGCGTCGCCAGATCTGGTAGCCCCGCCAGATCTGGCCGGGGTACGACGGCGGCGCGGCGGCGGGTCTCGGCGTGGCCGGCGACGGTCTCGGTCGACGCCGGCGCCCTCGGACGTAGCAGGTGGCCAGCAGCTTCGGCGCGGTTTCATCGGCGACGACAGCACCGGGTCGGCGGCGGTGCTCCGGCGCCGGCTGCCGCGTGGTCCTGGCCAGGGGCTGCCGGCCTGCTGCGGCTTTTGCCGGCGACGGGGAAGGCGCCTCCATCTCCCTCCCTCCTGGTCCTCCAGATCCGGTTCTCCCCTTCTTCAGTGGTGTTTCTTCCGGTGCTCTCTGACGGTGCGGCGTCCGCTCCCCTCTTCTTAGGTGCTCCTCCCTTCTTAGGCTAGGCTGCTTCCAGTCGATGCCGGGGAGTTCCGTGGTTCGGTAGGGGTGGCGTGCGGAGTTGTTTCGGCATCCTGTTCGCTGGTCGTCGGCCGCGCCGTTGTTTCCCTGCAGCTGGGTTCCTGGGTGTGAGGTGGTCTCTGGTCGAGCTGCAGGGTTGGCTGTTGAGGTGGAGTTGGAGCTGCTTGTCTTGCAAGCTCGGCAACGATGACCCTCAACGAACGTCCCGGCAACGCGACGAGGGTTTTGAGGTGGAGCAGTTCGAGAGAGCCTTAGGTGAAAACCTTGCCTAGTGTCGTAGGCTCTCCAGACCTTCCATTATATTTGAGAGATGAAGTGAATAATTCAAGTCATCAAACAAGCATAATGAAACATCCGACGCCTCGAGAGAGGAATTTTGGAGACATTGCTGGGCCCTTAGCCTGCCAGTCAACTTCAGCCTGAGATGTGCCCGTCAAACCACTCAAAGGCGGCGACCAGATGTGTTACACATTCAGGAGACTTGACAAAAATGGCTAAAGATCTACAACCTCTCAAATATTCCTAACTCATACTCATGTGAATCTAGTTCCCAGGATGTGCACTAGATTCACACTTTCATCTTAAGCATGATTATACATAGCAAACACAACTAAGATGAAAGAAACTTAAGACTTACAACAACTTAATAATTACATAGGCCAACCGGCCAAATAGACTTATTAGAGAACAGCGGAAGCTTGACTACCCAATCACAAGCACACCGACTAGGGGTTTACCCTATTAAGTTCTCATCCTAGAAGAAGCAATCGGAACCCGCATCACTCAAAGACTAAGACTAAACCTGCAAACAAAAGGTTATATCAACAGCAAGAGTCAGTACATTAAACAAGTTAATGTACTGGCAAGCACAAGTCAATCCTACTATACTACATGTAAGGCATATATTCAAAGGAAGGCAATATGTAGTTCAATTTCAGCATATAGCAAGTTTTGTTTTGCAATTCTTTTGTAAAGGAGGTGATGCTTCAATTAACAAAGACAAGTTTTAAGTTTCATTATTAACTTCTTCATAATTCCATCATAAACAATCTCTTATTGCCATACTTAACAATAAGTCATAATGTATCACCACATACACAACTCAACACATTTATCAATTTCAAACCAATGTCACATGATCACATTTTTAAAACATAGTCTATACTCATGACACATCACCAAAGCGCTCATGACCGTGAGCACGGCTAATCGATTAGTTTAAAGAACTCTGCAGAGTTTGTACAGCTTTACCCACATGATATGAACTCTCTAGTTTGTTTTGAGTTTGCAAGACTCCACCACACTCTTCATGTTGAATGTGATCTAGAGGTCATAACGAAGCCTTTACACTACTTAGAGCCTAGCCTTGCACCAGCACGATACGTGTTCCTCCATCCTAGGCATACTTGGAATATACCTGGAACCGTTAAGTGGCGGGCCCACGCCTTAAACTTAACGCCGTGGTAGCGGACACGACGGGAACCCACCACGTGGCACAATACCGTTGTATTGGACACGCTTAGTCACCTAAACTACCACGTCGGGGTAAATAGGAAGCTCCTCTGAATTATACGAACTCATACACACCGGCCTACCAGAATGCAAGGCTAGTCCTAAATAGATTAATCAGCTTAGGCCATCCCATACTAGCACATGTGGATGTACGAATAACTTTAAATGGGTGACACAAGTTCGGTCCTTATGGACTTGGGCAAACACTCCCCCTATCGGTATGCAACTAACACTATATGCACACCACTTGCTGCCCAAGTGTAAAATCACATTTTACACATTTTAGTTCGCAAATACCCATCATATTCATTTTATTCCAGCAAAGGTTCAAGTATCAAAACCACATTTTAATTATAGATGGAATGAGCATTTGCATATTTCTAAGCATGGCTAAGCAAGTAATTGCACATAGAGCATATATAAACCCATATGAGCACAAAGAGTGTACTCTAACCATTTCTAGGGTTCAAACAGCAAGAGGATCAATTATTCAAGGTGGGTTATGCAGCAAATAGGTCATAACTACCTTAACCCAGTTTCAAATACCGATATAGTCTAAGTTCACATGCAACTTTGCAAACAAATATTTTCATTCCTCAAATCATGGGATCCAATGTGTTCAAAGGATGGGAGGAGAAAACTTGCCTTGATCAGAGAATTGTTAGCACCTAATCCACTTCTTCACCGATTATGCAATTATCTAGATAAAGGACACGACATGCAATTAAACACCGAAAGAGCTGAAAATCCAAAATGCTCTAAAATGCATGATTTATGCACAGTGGGTTGGAAATGATCTAAAATGAATTTAGGTGAAATAATTCCTATTTTATTTTATTCCATTTGGGAGTTATGAATTTTAGAAGTTTTATCGGTTTACAATAGTATAGTCTTAGGTAGTGTTATGAAATACTTTTGTAAAATGATTTTTATTAGATTAGACTTCACAGGGGTGTGGAGATGTGTTTTCTAAGACTAACACATTTGGTTTCACAATTTTTGGAATTATAATGAATTCTTTATGCATTTTACAAGTTATAACGTGTTTTAGACATATAGTGTTTTATATGTTCATGACTTTTGAGTTATAGGTTCAGAACATGCTACTTCCTGTTTAAGTTGAATAAAAGGAATAATTTGGTTAACTAAAACATTTTTATCTCACATGTTTATGGTCTTTACTACTATGGTTCATATTTTATAAAGTAGAGATGCTTTAATCTAAACTAGCAATATATTATATTAACCTAGAAATTGTTATATGAGCTAAGTTCTTCTAATTTTAGTGGATGGAAATGGAACTATGGCTTCACTGGTCAATCAAGTTTTTATTTAGGTTTAATTAGACCTAAAGTGTATATATATACTTATACATGTTTATGTATTACTTAAACAACACTATGTGTTTAAATTCTTATTTCACTAAGTTAAGGTTTTGATCAATGTTCTCTACAAAAGGTGACAAATTTTATTTTACTATGTTGAAGATAACTATTTGCTGGTTCTATAGAAACTTTGTTCATTTCATTTGGACTAAAAATAAATTTTCTACAAGTTTTACAAATTAATGGCTGCTCTATGTTAGTAAATCCTTATATGAATATTTAGAGACTTTTACTACACAGCAAGTATATAATCTTATTTCATAACATGGAAATACATGTTTTAGTGATCCTACATAACTTAAGTTTATTCAAATTGAAGCTAAATTGGGTTCTACATGAATTTCTAAAGTTTAGCTTATCTAAAACTAATCATTATAGAGATAATAGTTTTAGAGGCATTTGATGCAAAGTAAGTAATTACTTTTATTTCACTTAATCAGAGACTGTATGATGATGAATCTGTAGAATTTGATTTTGTTTCAAAATGAGTTGAAATGAATTTTCTATGTATTTTATAAGTTTGTACATGTTTTATGTATAACCTATCTTAGATAAATTTTAGAGACATTATTTGTACAGTGAGTGTCAAGTTTTATATTCCTGGAATAAAGTTCATAACTTCAAGAATCTACAGCAACTGGAATAACTTCAAAATGAGCTATATTTGATTTTATATAGATTTTACAACTTTGTGCATTTTTCTGCTAAACATATATTTGTTTGGGCATTTTCCTAATTTTTCTTCAGATTTTAAAGGATGGGTCCACATGGCTGTGAGGGACCAATATGCACAAAGGCCCTTGAGGTTTCTAGGAATCAACCCGCAGTCCTAGGCCCATATGTCAGTGTGTTTCTACAATTGTAAACAGATCCCTGCACTTAATCTAATTCACGGAAGTCATCCCTCTGCTCTAGGCAGAGCAGAGCTAGCCATGGCTGAGCTCGATCTGGAGCTCGCCGGCAGCAAACGGTGGCTCGTTTGAGGTTGAGGTCAAAAGATAAAATGAAGAGCAAGCTCTCGCGATTCCATTCCTCTAGTTTTCTTGGTTAGAGGACATCGGAGTAGCGCCGATGGCGAGTGTGAGCGGCGGTGGTTTTGGGGTGAAAGTGCATGTGTGCATGGAAGTCGATTACGAATGAAAAGGATGCATGCATGTGGTCTTCTAGACTTCAGGATGCTCACCGTGGGTCGAGCTAGGGTTGTCGAGGTCTTGGCGGCAGCGGTGACTTGTGGAACGGCTCGGCGACGGCGCTCCTCCTCGGGTGAACGACGACGGCTCGAACGGGACAATGAGCTGCTTCAAGCAAGCATGCACGAGGGTTGTGAGGTCAAGGAGATGGTGTATGTGCAAGGAATCGAACAATGGCTCACCGAGGCAGCGGTAATCGACGATGACGGCAGAGGCGATCCTAGATTGGCGCCGGTGAAGAAAAGGATGTGTTCTCCGTGTTCTTGATGTTTCCGGCTGGGGTTCTTGAGGCGTTTTGAAGAGGAGGTTGAGGTGATGACAATGGCGCAGCGGCTTTCTCTGAGGTGGATGAGAATGGCCGGACGACAACGATGGTTGAAGCGGCGGCGCTCCGGTGCGTGCTCCAGGGCATCGTCGGCGTGGTCGCGTTCCGGTGGCTGTGATACACAAAACGGGAGGTGGTCAAAAGAGAAATGGTTCGGCACTGTGTGGAGAGAAGGGAACGCGGAAAACCTGGAGATGACCTTTACCCAATCAGCGATGGCGATGGTCGTCGTCTCCACGGCCGGCGGCAAGGTTTGGGGCGATGGAGAGGCAGAGAACCTCCTCCCTCGGTTTCTTCGGCTCTGAGTGGTGAATGGAGAATGGCGACGCGTCTAGGAGGAGTAGAGAGCGAGAAAAAGGAAACCGAGATCGACGACACGTTGCGGCCACGCGTCGGCTCGCTCAATCTCTCCCTCTCTCGGCTGGAGCAGTGGAGGAAGTGATGGACAGAGCTGAACCTAGCCTAAGGCACTGACAAGTGGGGCCAACTCGATGGAAACTAGGCCAGGGAGAGAGATATGGGTAGAAGACTGGTAAACTGGATTTTTAGATTAATTTTCGGAATTATTTTCTCCTCTAACTTTGTAACTACATAATTCAATGTGTGGACCAAATTAATTAGTGTTGATTTTACTGGAGGTAAATGATTACACCTAGATTCCATTTTCTTTGGTTGCACTCAAAAATAATGGGTGGACTGCTCACAGAAATTAAACAAAGATGGGCTATTAGAAAGCTAGATTGAATTTTTAGGAGGCTTAAACAGAGAAGGAAAATTCTAGAAAAATTACATTTATTCATGATAACTAATCTAGTATTTGAATAAATTATTTTCCATGTTCACTGATGTGCAGTTAAATGTACTTTTGGATGAAATATGGTTTTAGCCGATTAAAATTTAATTTGATTTCTTTTAGTTGTCTGCTTCGACCGATTAATTTGAGATATCAACTTGAGTGTTAACACGTTACCAAATTACGGAGGATAAGTTTGTGCTAATCATTGTCCACATAAATTTTTCCATGATTTTATCTTGCACAAAATATTTTAGAGAATTAAGTTGACCTTTGTTTGTATATGTGTTCCCACTTCATAATTGCATCTAATATTATTATAGGGATTACATTAAACTTCTTTTAGACTGAGAAGATGATATTTGAGTTTAATATTAAGTCCACATGTTATTACCCAAGATTAACTATAGGTTTGTTTAGTGAAGTAATTCTTTTAGATTATGCTCATGGGATCTATTATGGAATGCAAGACCAAAACTTCAAATGCACAAAGAACTCGAGCCTAGGCATGCATTATGTACATGTATGCTTGGTGACATTTCTAGTCTAATGTTGGGAATGAAAATGTTTTATTTTGTTCTCAAATTTTAATCATGCAATGGTTTAAGTTGATCATCACCTAAATTAAAACGGAAATTTTTGGCTCTCAAAATTGGAGAAATTAACCTCTAACTATTTTGATAAGAAATTTTAAGTCCTAAAATTTCGGGTATGTTACACCTAGTCTATCCTAGGTTGATGATATCGACGCTTGTGGGCGCCGTTTCCTCCTTGGAGGTGTCGTCATGTTGGTTCTCTCTTCCTTCAGGTGAAAACCGGGTTCCTTTCGGAACGGGCGTTGACAGCATCCTTAATGTTGTTTCCTTGTTGAAGGCTTCGCTCAGAAGGTATTTGCTCCACTAGAGGATGTTTGGTGGTTCTGGAGACCTTGTCATTATGTTGTCGAAGCTGCTTGCCTTTTGGTAAGCTCGGTAACGACGACTTCTGTGAGGTCTCATTAGTTGTTTCTTTTCTTTTCTGTATTGGTTTTTGCCGGTTTCCCGTTTAATTAACCGTGCTTGTTTGGTTTTCGGGCCCGGTTTCCCTTATTAACTGGGCCAATTCTCTTCTTCTATAAATTCCGGCAGGAGAAACTCCTGCCGTCGGTTCCTCGAAAAAAAAATTCATATACATATATAAATCATGATTTGTGAGCCTATGACCAAAGATTATGATTGTCGTGCTATGTATCATGACTAACAATACAAGGAATAATTACGAGTTTATTACGACCTTTACACTGGCAAAATGTGGACAATTAACTTATATCTTAATACATCATGCGCTCAACGAGCTACCTCGAGTTGTCTCATTAAACAAATGAGTAAAAGTTCAAACTCAACTCAACTCATTAACTGCCAAGTCGAGTTGAGTCGAGAAGAGTTTTACACAAATTAAATTGGGGCAATAGCGCTTTTGACCCTGTTCTAGAACCTACCAATTTGACCATACTTTTTCAACTTTGCTCATTTGACCCTCGTTTTTAAAACTGAAGATCAGGTCTGACCCCCTTCTGTTAAATCAACGTAACGGTGTGCCCTTCTTATTCACACGTTTGTGCCGCCTACCTCCTTGTTTGGAACAAACAGGAGAAGACCGCGTCGCCATCCTCTTCGAAGCAAGAAGGAGCATCGCCACCACACATCGTCCTCCCCGTCCAGATCGAGGAACAGCGCCGCCACCGTCGCCGTCCTCCCGTCACGACGCGGCGCCGCCACGGATTTACTCCCTCCGTCGCCGCCGCCGCCGCTACCGTCTTCCACGAGCTGGCGTGACCGCTCCCTCTCTCCACGAGCTGACGCCGGCACGGATCCGCTTCCTCCGTGTCCCTCCGCCGTCGCTGCTGCCTTCCTCCACGAGCCGGCGCGTCCGCTCATCCGCCACTGCCGCAACTCGCCCCTCCATGCGCCGCCGCCGCACAGGATATATGAGAGAGAGAAACGGTAGTGAATGGGTAGGTTAGATGTGGATTGGTTTCCTTGAGGGTAGTTTGGTCATTACAGTATTTTTTTCTAAAAAAAATGGAACCTTAACAGTGCGGTGGAAACAGGGTTAGACGGGGTGTTCATTTTTGAAAAGCGGGTTCAAATAGCAAACTAGAAAAAAAAAAGCTAGTTTAGTAGTTAGTCTTTCAAATGAGGTCAAATAAGTAATTATCCCAATTAAATTAGCTTACGAGTTTCGAGATTTTTGACCAACCCCTATTCACACATATCCATCCAGCATCATAGACCCGGTTAAGCCCCTCCTATTTGGGCAGGCCTACATCCCGAAAAGGTGCTCCATGGAATGCCAAAACGCACCCGTCCCGGTTCCCATTCCCATTCATAGCTATCTACCACCTTTTTCGATCGTTACGCAATGCTCGCGCAATAACGAAATCTACCGCGTGCCATACCGCCACGCAACTAGCTAGATGCCACTCACTCGAGGTTAGTTAGGCATGGGCATCACATAGCAAACTGGCCATCCCATAGCTTTCCTAGCTCCCACGAGACGACCCTGCACCCTGCATGCGGCAGCACGGCGCACACGCTCCTTTCTTGATCGTGCGCGTGGAGCCCAGACGTGACCGGCCGGAACGGACTCCGGCTTGGTTCGCCCTTGCACAGCACTGCACAAGCACAACCCGGTCGATCAATCGATCGATCAGTGAGTGCCGAATATTCCGCACCTACACGTGTTCACCGTTATGCGATGCACAAGTCTAGCTAGTGCACTTGAGGAATAATTTGGATGCATGTATGCTGCTGCTGCGCTTTCGAATGTCAGGAAAAAAAAACACATGGGTGATGATCGAGTGAACAATGTGTCTCATCAATCAGCTGGCCCTAAACGAACGAACCATACTCTGATTGCGTAGCAAGTACCGTGGGTGATTCGATTCGTGGATTTTTCGTTCAATACAAAGAGCGCTAACTGGTAACCTGGTGCGCTTAGATAGGAGTAATCAGATACCACTGGTTATCTGGTGCTTAGATACCACAGGTTGGTCGACAAATGTCCAGACCGTGTACACACCTGCACGCACCAATGTGGCAATGTGCAAAACACCCGGCCTCAACCTGTCGGCAAATGCCCTCGATCGGCATCAATTCCCTACCACCACGTACACCCCCGGGAAACGGAGAGTGACCGTCGAGCCGCTGGGAGGAGGAAACAACAACCGGACGAGAAGAAAGAACCAGAGCTCAAGCACCCAAACAAACAAAAAGTTCCCGGTTGAAAATAACCTGCAGTAGCTTAGCTACTAGTAGCACTGTGAGCACTAGCTTTGTCCTGTTCCAATCCATGTCGTAGTACCGCTGGTGATGCTGGTAGGACCGGCTAGATGCAGGCCGGATGCACCTACCTTCCTCCCCGTAAACAAACACGTACGACGTGCCAGCCCGGGACCCGATTCGATCGACCGGATCAGGCAAAAAAAATCATACCAGCACGAAAAGCAAGCCAACCCCGCGAAAGCGGCCGCCCGGCAACCGCCGCTCCGTTCGCCTGCGGCCGCAGCAGCAGCCGCAGCGACCGTACGCTAGGAAAAAAATTTTCCGAACGGCGCCAAACGCGCGAAGCTTCCCTCCGACCTCCCCCGCCCCGTCTCGCCCTCCGATTTGGCGCATGCCGTGCAACGCACCGGCCGCGTGCGCGTCGCGTCGGGGACGAGACGAGACGTCATCTCGCCTCGGGTCTAGCTAGCCGGTGCAACGGCTGTTTCGCCCGTGTCCCCTCCCGCGCGTTGGCTTTCGTTCGGGCCATCTGATGATGGGGATCACGCTGTCACGCAGCACGCGCCGTGCGTGGCGCGGACGTGCCAGAAAAATGCTCTCGCGTGCGTGCATCAACGCGCGTTTCGGGTGGTGTGTGCCCGTGTGGAGTACGTATACAACCTTTTTCCTGGTTCGCGTCAGTGCTTGGGAAGAGATAACTGTTTTGTGTTACATCAGGTGAATTCAGGGTTTTTTTATGGCAGGCAGCACGTTCACGTTAATCGGGGATAGACTATCACCTATTGGAATTGTCATATGCGGTGCATCGGTGTGAATTAATATCTCGGTTCGTAATCGTGATTGGCTGGTGCGTTCGTGCTTACTTTAGAGCTCGTCGTGCCGGGACAAGATGTTTCACTTCACGGTCTTCACGTCCGTGGGTGATGACGTATAGATGAAAGCCTAAGAAATTTAGCCTTTTATTGGTCTTTTGTTTAATCAACGAGGTAGCTGTCGAGCTTTAGGGGTGCCACGTGTACGTCCAACCCAGAGAAATTTAGCCGTGGATGTAGAGCCGCTGGTGAAATGATCGATGTTTACTGGAGTTACGACTAGGTCATTTGTTTGGAAAAGTAACCACTAACCAGTCAAGGTCACTGGCCATCTGGCTCCACCTGGACAGATTGGACGCACGCACTTGAAGTTTTGAATAGTTCATGACGTCTTTTTTAGTGCTTTCTTCTCTAAATCTAAGATGAGCATAATATATACTGTAAAATTTGGTCAAATCACGTGTAGGTGCACCAGATGATGTAGGAGTAATTATGTAATGCACCGTGCGTAATCGGTTACGGAACTGGGTAGTAGGTTTACCGAATTGCACCAATCCATTGTTGGACTAGATGATGCAATCGCCTTGTGAGCTTATTTACGAACAATATGATCTTATATTTTCTCCGTTCAAGTATATAAGGGATATTGGCCTAATCCCTTATCTAAATATATAAGCAATTTTACAATCCCAAGACAATGTTTATCTTCTATCCATCAATGAACTCATGCACTAGTTTAATCCTCACTTAACAACTTTGGTACTACTCCCTCCATCTACTTTTGATAGTTATATTTTCAAATCTGAAAAATTTATTTTTGATAGGTATATTTCAATCAAACAACCTATCATCTTAATGGCTTTCTTGGATTTAATACGTGACTCTCAATTCTTTCACATAAGATTGGCTCTATGGGCATCGAGAAATGTAAATATTAATAAATCGCTTGTTTACGAGGAATGACTAGTAGCATATTTAAATAGATGATAAGTAGAATTATCTATCATTGGTCTGTCTGCCAAGATAACATATGACTATCAAAAGTAGATGAAGGGAGTATTAGTTTATTTTTTCAACCTTTACCTTATGTACTGGTTTATTTCCTCAACCATCATCTTTTATACTATGATTTAACCCTCTTTTAACTTCCTTAATTATTCTCAAAATGGCATAATACCATGTATTTAAAGACAGAGAGTACTTTGATCGCAGATCATTCAGAAAGAAGGTCTATTTTTGAGATGATTCAGGCAGAAAGTTTCTTTTTTTTGAGAGAGAGGAAGGCAGAAAGTTTCGACTTTCGATCATCTGGTAGCAAACCCAGCAAAACTTCAGCTTACAAGGTGAGCGTGAACCCGACAGGTCGTCGACCCTTCGGCTGGATGGAGCAGCAGCTAATCGCGGTTACACCTTTGGGCCCTTTCCTCGGTTGGGCCACTGGAAGGCCGTAGTGCTGCTCATTGTAGCCATTGGGCCAGTGTCACATGGGCTTACAATGAAAAGCCCATGTTCTCCGAATGAAAAAAACGTACAGAAGCAACGCCGTCTTTTCAGCTCGGATGTCTGAAAACTCCTAAAACCCCAAAGCAGCCAGACCAGTACACACACCATTTTGCTTGTCAATGGCCGCCGCCGCCGCCGATCCCCTCGTCGCCGGCGCCACCGTCTCCTCCGACTCCGACTCCGACTCCGACGATCTCCACCTCCTCCTCCCGAATCTCCTCCCTTCCGCCGCCACCGCCGCATCAGACGCGCAGCTCCACCACTTCCACCTCCCCGCGCTCCCGTCCCCTATCACCGTCCGCACCCTCCCTTCCCTCGGCCTCACCTTCCAGCTCTGGCCATCGGCCTCCACCCTCCTCCGCGTGCTCCCCGCCTCGCCGCTCCTCCTCTCGCGCGCGCCCACCCCGGAGAGCCCGCTGGGCATCCTCGAGCTCGGCTCCGGCACCGGCGCCGCGGGCCTCGCCCTGGCCGCGGCGCTGCCCGCCCACGCCGTCCTCTCGGATCTCCCCGCGGCGCTCCCCAACCTCCGCCACAACGCGTCCCTCAACGCGCCCCTCCTCGACGCCCGCGGCGGCTCCGTCTCCGTCGTCCCGCTCCCGTGGGGCGACGCCGCCGCGATGGAGGCCGTCGCTGCTCCGCCGCCGGCTTCTCGGTTCGACCTCGTCGTGGCGTCGGACGTGGTGTACTACGAGGCGTTGGTTGACCCCTTGATTGAGACGATGCGGTTCTTCGTCAAGGGGGAGGTGGTGTTCGTGATGGCGCACATGAGAAGGTGGAAGCGCACGGACAAGAAGTTCTTCGCCAAGGCGAGGAAGCTGTTCGACGTCGAGGTGGTACACGAGGACCCGCCGCTCGAAGGGTGGCGCCATGGCCCGGTGGTCTACCTCTTTACCGAGAAGAAGCGGCGTGACAAGAAGTGAAGAAGCTCTTCCAAAAGGTAATGACTGCCTGCTCGATTGTGTTCGTCATGTGTTCTTTCTGTTTGTTGTGAAAGATCATACTGTTAGAATTCAAACAGAGAAAAAAAACTGAGGGCCAAAACTTGGTTGTGTGGTTGCATATGGATTTGGATGTGTCAGGTGCTATCCTTTGTTTTATTTATGGATTCTAGTTAATTCTCATGGAGTCACAATGAAGTTTAGGATTTCACTATCTTAGAATAACCAATCTAATAATAGACGATATGATTATGAGGTGGTAGTAGCAGTACAGGACTTTATGATTGGCAAGGGACTGCCGAAATTTGTAGTTTGAACAAGACAAAGTTTTTGGTTCTCAAGAACACAAGTCTAGCATGTCTTCGTACTAGCACTTCAAATGGTGATGGACGGTCTCTAGAGAAAAGATCAATGGCACAATTCCTCTGCATGCAAGGAAGGAATGACATAAAACATTATGTTACTTAACATGGAAAGTTTTTTGTTCTTTTGTGTTACTTTTATGGAATTGAAGTGGAGGCCCAAGAATTATGTGTTCCATTGCTGCTATTTTCCTTCAAATTGTTCATACATTTAGTAGTAAGTTCCTTTTGTTATGGGAATAAAACTGTAGAAATCCATTTACACGAGGAACTGACCTTTTTCTTGTTAACATGCAAAGCTATCAATATATTGAAAGCGAGAAAATCAGTACATTACAAATTAACCCCAAGAGAATGCAGATACACAGGCTTACACCATGACATTTAGCTATGAAACAATAATTGAATCAGGGATGTTCACAGCATTTAGCTAGAGTCAAATACACGTCTGTTTGCAGTTAAACTTGAGTGCCTCTCAAAAACAGTCAGCACTGCACAAAGGCAAACATGATAACACAATAGGAATACACGGCAAACCTAGTAACCAACCTCTGGCAACCGAACAGAGGGAGGGGCACAAGAATCATTGGTTGCACTGGACGAGCTCGTATTTCCATAACTGTTCGGCCTTTCCAGCTCCTTCAGTGTCCCATTAGATGACTGTGAAAATCTGCAGAGAGAAATTGGTGGTGCAAAGTACATTGCCACTGGCATCTTTGGTGGAAGGTCTGGTAATGGTGCTTCAAACTTCAGTACGCTTATGACCTGGCGAATTGAAGGCCGGATATTATAATCTGGGTGTGCACACCAAAGTCCAACAACCATCAAGGAAATAACTTCCCGCTCTTCAAATTCACCATCAAGCCTTCCATCAATTGCATTAAGTATCTCATTTCTTCCATAAAGATCCCAAACCCATTGAACCAAACTGATCCTGTCATTATCTTCCTTTGGCACAACGGGCCTCCTTCCACAAGCTATCTCCAGAGCAAGAATGCCAAAGCTGTAGACATCAGTCTCTTTGCTTGCTTTCCCAGTAGTGACACACTCTGGAGCCATGTAACCCATGGTCCCAGCTATCACTGTAGTTTGTGAGCCTCGGTCATGGTCTACAAGCCGTGCGAGCCCAAAGTCCCCAAGCTTAGCGTTGAATCCAGAATCAAGCATCACATTGCTTGGCTTGACATCACGATGCACGACACATTGTTCCCACTCCTCGTGGAGATACAGGAGGGCGGATGCAACACCTATGGTTATCTTGAACCGCAATGGCCATGCTAACAGGTTTCCACCATCATAGAGGTGTTTGTCCAAGCTCCTGTTTGGCATAAACTCGTAGACTAACAAGAACTCTCCATGCTCATGACACCAGCCCACAAGTTGCACAAGATTCCGATGCCTTAGTCTGCTGATGATCTTGACCTCAGAGATGTACTCCTTCCTCCCCTGTGTTGACCCTTTTGCAACTCGTTTTATGGCAATTTCAATGTTTTGATCCTTCAAGAAACCCTGGTATACTGCACCGAAACCCCCTTCTCCAAGCTTTCTCTCTGCAGCAAAATTATCCGTCGCCACTACGAGTTCATTGTATTGGAATCTCCTTGGCCCCTTGCCTTTCTCAAACTCACTGTCAATGGACTCATCACAGTCTAGTTTCTCTTTTTCCTTCTCTCTTGACCTTGTAGTCCTTCTAATCCTTCTAAAACATAAAAAGAAGCAAACCAAGCCAATTGAGCAGACCACAACACTACCGCTCGTAGACAAGCTTATGACCAATATACCTTTTGTTTTCTCAGTCTTCATCAGGTGCACATCTGTAGAATCAAATTCCCAGTAAAGAATCTGGTGCAGCTCTACAAATTTACCTGTGGAAGCAGAGAATCCGATGGACACTTTGTCAGGGAGATATTTGCTGAGATCAACCGAATAAGATAGGCTGGAGTTGCCACTGAATTGTGGGTTGTCCTGGTACGACAAGAAGACACTCAAGTTCCTTGAATTTGCCTGGTAAGTTACCCAAGCATTGGCTATCCGGCCATCGTTGATACTACTTCGCCATGTCACGTTGGCTACAGATACAATTGAGTGGATGTTGATGCCTACATGGTTGCCATCTGGATCCCAAGTGTTTTTGTGGCTGTCAAACTCAACAGCCACAATCTGGTTGAGTGGATCGCTCTGATCATTACTATTGCTGAAGAGGCCAAGATAACCATCCATGGAGTTATTGGGGACCACAGAAGGGTATGATGAGAGGAAGAAGGCTAGGCCCTCACCGTACGAACTGTCGTTCGTGGGTGCATATATCTTGAACGTGAAGCGGGTTGTGAAGCTGGCTAACTGACCGGTGGTGCTATCCCAGAGAGGCACTGGATCGGTGTAGATTGCTCGGCCTACGCTTTGAGTGATCTTTCCATTCAACTCATCCTTGGTGAGCTTGACCGCCTTGTTGTAGAAGGCATCCTCCTGGAGCTGAATTGTGGCTGATCCATTATGATTTGATTCAGTGAAGTTCAACTTGAAGGACAGAGGATTGACATGGGCAATTTTCAGGGATAGGGAAAAGTAGAGAGCCAAGAGGCAAGTATATTTGGTTCTTGATCGCATGGTTGGAATCCTGGAGGCTGGAGAGAGAGCAGGAGGGAGAGATGGAAGGAAGGAAATGAAAAGACACTACTTTTGCAGACCTGATAACCTGTATAACCATTAACTTGGTCAATCTCCTTGATTGTCTCAGCAATACTTGGTGCTATTAAAGGGTAGTATCATACTGCCGGCCTGTCAATAGGCCCTGAAAGGACAGATGTAAGCCACAGGAGAAGCAGCTCAAATTTGGAACTTAACTAAGCTTTCCAAAAAGCTAGATGAAGCTTGGTTTGTATCGTCTTTGCCGGCCAAGATTATGAAGTCAAGTATGTCTCGCCCATAATATGATTATGGTGGTTGCCGGCAGAAAAGGAGGTTATCTCCTCTCAGCAAATGGAACATGTATTTTCTAAGGCAGAATTGGACTGAGTTCAGACATGCACAGAATCTGCCAAAAGGAAAGCTCTTATCGATCTTATATGCTTAACAAACTGGGTCATGATGTAATTTTTGTCTTTCATGCGGCATACAACAATTTCATGCAGCACAGGAGAGTTTATTAATACATATAGCACAATGATTTACCTTGTCCTTAGGGATCAGTTCGATGACAACTTGACAAGCAGTAAATATTTCTTGACTGTAATCTCTATTCTGGAGTTGGCACAAATCTATTGAGTTATGGCAACCAAGATCAGACGGCAGAAGTGAAGTATATGGCACTATGATATATCTTGCTTGTGCACTGAAAAAAGGGTTCAAACATGGAAAATTAACAAAGCGACCACAGCTTATGTATTTCGCATAGTGTGTAGTACACAAGGATCAGCATCATAATCTCAGTAACTAGAAGAAAATATACACCAACTGTTCTTTTTACTAGGAGAATATACATCGATTGTTCTATTCATGCAGGGCTACTTATATACACAAATGATTAACTCAAAACCTGCAAGGAATATTCGTAAAGTACATTATTGAGTGGATCTGTCATACTCAACATGAGTTTCAAGTTTGCTGCCATGAATCGATCGTTCATTTCGCCGTGTCGCTGGTGTTTGTGTCGTCCGTTGGCCACGCTACAGTTTCCATTAACCTCTGACGCATTATCTCCAGATTCTCATTCGAAATCTTCTCGTACATTTTTGCATGGTCACATTTCTGCATTGATGAAGAGGTAACTAATTAAATAATTTATGCATCAAAGATGTCTCAAATTACTCTGGAATATCTCACTCTTTTTTATTACCTTGATCCATTTGCTGTACAAGTGGAGTCGTGTGATCATCACTCTCTCTGCCAAATCTTGCCTCTCCTGGTGCATACGAAGTCAAATTAATTAGAGAATGAACCTTGGCACAATGCTGAACATCATATATATTTTTCTTCATTGCTTAGTAACAAGATGCAAAAAGATACCTTTGCGAGTGCGATGAGGAAATGTTTGCCCTCCTTTGGATCGTTAACCACGACGTAGCTGACAAATCGTAAGTGTTCGTATTTTAGACGCTAAGGATGCAGATTGGAACTGACACCAACATTAACCTATTCTACTTAGATTTCATTTCAACATAGCACAATATATCAATGTGAGATTTTCTTGCAATGGGGTGACTTACTTATACAGCCAAGTATAAGCAGGTGGATTCATTTCATACAACTGGTGGAGCACCGTGCTTGTGGCCTTGTAAGTGAAGTAATTCATGATTTCCTGCAAAATGGAGAGAACAATCTTCAGAGTTCCATGCAATCTAAACCCAATTAACCTTGCAGTTAGAGAAAATTAACCATTATATTGCTGTCGTTTACAGATAGCGTTCCGATTATCCCCTGCCGGTTCAAAAAAAAAGAAAATCGAAATCAGTAGTGTACACGCACCGTGTGCACGTCTTCGAACCCCTCCTCGTACTGCCCGGCGAACTCGTCCACGATGACGAGGCCGCGGCGGCCGGGCCTCCTCCCCCTCCGCCGCGCCGCCCGCGCCACCGTGCGCCGCCGCCTCACCCCGACGACGACGCCGCGGGACCACGGCAATGGCGCCGCGCGGCACGCGGAGGAGGATGAGGACGAGGAGGGAAGGCAGACGACCGCGGCGGCCATCCGCGCGACGGCAGCCATCGGCGGCGCCGCGAAGGAGAGCTAGAGATGTTTTTTTCCCTCCCGACGGCTCGACGCCGGCTGCGACGATGCGAGCCGCGGCGGGGTTCTGGATAGGCAGCAGCGGTGGATTTTTTTTGCTGAGGCTTTGGCTGATTCTGTCCGCGAAAACAGCGCGTTTCATGGGCTTCCTGAGGGCAAACGGGAGACCCCACGTTCGCGCCGATATTTCGTCCGGCAGCTCGCTGATTGGTGGCGGAATGGCGACGAGAGATGATTCTATTTGCCTCTCTGTATTTTCGCGATTCCCTTGATTCTTTTTTTTTTTGGCTTCAGAAGTACATTTCTCTTTCAGCCTTTTCCTTTTTTTTTTGAGAATATTCACTTTTAGCTTTTTGTGAGAATGTAATTTGTGGAATGCATGACTGCCACCCTAAAATATCTTTTCTGATAGTGAACACCAAAGTAAGGGCACTTGCGTATGTTTATCATAGTGAAAGAATTCAAGTTCTACATTTGATATTAATGTTTATAAGTACATTATTTGATATTAATGTTTATAAGTACATTATTTGATATTAATGTTTATAAGTACATTTTACTACAAGACATCGCAAATTCGTGATTTTAGTTATGGGACACCACATGAAATCACTTTTGGGGTAAGACACTATGTAATCTTGGTTATTTGCTAACGGGCACGGCTCCCATTTATTTAGCGTTTTAGTGTTGACTATGCAAGAGCTGTCCACTTTTTGATGCGCTGTGACCAAATTGCCCCTGCCCATCCTCAAATTGACTCACCTATCGGCTGGCGCCGCTCTTCGTCGTGCAGTTCATCCATCTCGCTTCAATCCTCGAGCTTCGCCTCCACTCACTCCTCACCTCAGACACTGTCACTCCGCCGTCACCGCATCCTCCCCACCAGCCTGCTCTCCTCCCTCCCGACACCATAGGCGCCACCCGCACCCACGTTGGTCGAGGCGCTTCCTTCCCCTCCACCACCGCAAACCTCAGTATTAGGAGCAGGAGACCAGCCTCTACCATGGTGTTGCTCGCACCCACATCAGTCATGGCGCTTCCTCCCCTCCACTACCGCCGTTGCGGCGGTAGAACCAGCATGACGAGAAGGGCCTCCACCACGGCGCCACATGCACCCACATTGGTCGCGACACTTCCTCCTCCTCTACTGCCACAAGACAAGCGCCGTCGCGAGCCTAGCAGGAGCCCAACCCACCGCCGTCGCCCAAGCCCCCTTCCGCAGAGGAGTTGGGCTAGGGTCCACCTACCTCGTGGAGGTCATGTCGGCGTGGCTCGTCAGCTTCTACCTAGGAGCCTAGCAAGGGAGCTGAGGGGAGCCGGACCAAGCCGCCACAGCGGAGGTGGAGGAGGCGAGGAGGGAGGGCCAGGGTGGTTGCTGATGGCGAGCAGAGGTGGCACTGTGGCTGGAGTGTGAGAAGGACTGACCTAGGGATATTTTTGACGTTTCATGTTGTTTATCTCTCCTATTTAGCCGGAAATTAATATTTTAATGACTATGGTGTCCATAAGAAAAAAAACCACATTTTGAGAGTGCCTTCCCCTAAAGATCGACTTTTGACGTGCCCTAGAGTTAAAAACCACGAAGTTACAGTGTCCTACAGCAAAATTTGCCATGTTTATATGAGCATCTCATTTGTACTATGTTTTGAAAAAAATCTTGTTCTAACTGAGACTTTAGCTTAGACCCTGTCACGTAGAATGTTTTGATACTAATTTAGAGTATTAAACATAGCTTACTTACAAAACTAATTGCATAAACGAGAGCTAATATGTGAGACAAATTTTTTAAGCATAATTAATCTATAATTAAAGAATTTTTACGGTAGCATCATATAGGATAATCATGGATTAATTAGGCTCAATAAATTTGTCTCGCGAAATAGTCCAGAGTTATGAAATAGGTTTTATCATTAGTCTATGTTTAATACTTCTAATTAGTATCAAACATCCGATGTGCCAGGGACTAAAATTTTTTAACCCCATCCAAACTCCCCCTTAAGAAGCCCAAATCCGAACACAACGCTTTGTAGCTGACTAGCTTAGACCTGAGGGCCTGTTTGATATAGCTCCAACTCCTAAATATAAGTCCAGGAGTTTAGTCTGGAGTAGAGTTGTGGAGCTGCCTAAACCCACCTCCACAACTCTAGTATATTTTGTGAGAGAGCTCCACCCAACTCCATTCCTAATTTTGGTGGAGCTGAAACTGTTTGGCTGAGCTCCAGCTTCAGAAGGGATGGAGCTGGAGCTGAAGCTGTACCAAACGGGCCTGACTCTGAGAGGAAAGGCCTGACTCCACGGTCCACGCGCACCGCATGGCGTACGCGCGAAATGGTTCACGGACTCGCGGTCATGCACACCCGCGAAAACCTGCGCTAAGCAAAAGCACCGGAAAAGCAACGGCACGAGCCCGTGCCCCGTGAGGCAATGAACCAAATTGGCGGCCGCGTCAACCACGCCACCGGGACGCGCGCGACGGCAAGAAAAAGAAGTCGCGAAGTCGCGGATTCTGCAGGCCCCCACGAGACCACGGTTTCCTACGGCCGATCTCGCGGGGACGCAGCCGGAGACGACGCGGTCGGTCGCGTCGCACCCCACGCCCCGGCCGGTTAGTGGACCGATTCCCGCACCGGCACACCGCGCGCGCACCGCGTCTTCTTCTCTATCGCGACAAGTCTGGCTTGGTCATCGCGTGAGTCGATCGCCTCGTTGCTTTCCGTGGCCGCGTCCGTCGCCGCCTCGCGCACCAGCGAATCCGGACGTCGACCGCTGCCTGCGGATGTTGTGGACAGCTCACAGTTGGTGTTCCTCTGAATGCACAGGCGCCGTGGTTCCTCTCACTTGGTGTGCAATTTACCGTGAAATCCCAGTGAGATATAACCTACGTCTTCGTAACGGTCTCCCGTCTTAACTCCGAGTCTCTGACTAACCGTGAACCTGATGATGCAGTTGCTAGCCTCATCGCGTGCGACGAAATATCAAATGATGTCGTCCGTGTTTAGATGACTTCTTTTGTACTCCTGCACTGTCTGTCGATGTCATGGCAGTAGGTGCCTCCTTTCACCGACTCCACCTGCTCCAGAACAAAGCAGGTACCAACTGTTACAAGGAAAAAAAAATCTGTATTTTCCAATACTGTCTATTTTTATTATCTTGCTTTGAATACTAACCGGGTATTTATTTTGGATTATAGAAAAGAAGTACACACCATTATGCACACACTTCAAATATTCGTAAGCCAGTAGAAAACGGAATTGTGCAGGTGGCAAGCATTCTCTTTTCTAAAAAAAAAATCAATATCATAAATCACATTCATTTTTCTAAAATATTTAATTTATTATTAAAATTAAATCAAGTAGATAATAATACATGGTAATAATTCAATGAATAACCCATGCCAAATAGAGTCAACAACATTGTTCACGTTTTCGACAAAAACAAAATGAAAGCCACCAAATTATAAGGTTTCGACGTTGAACACAAGCAGATTCTAAGTAACTTTTCAAATGATTTTCAAGAATTTAAATTTGAAATAATAAATTTGATTGGAATTTATCAAGGTTCATGAAAACCGTCATAAGATCGGGATCCAATGCTCAATTGAAAATGTGAGACCCTGCCAACAACGGCTGTGTTTAGATCCAAAGTTTGAATTCAAACTTCAGTCTTTTTTCATCATATCAACATGTCATACATGTATAACTTTTCAGTCGCATCATTTTTAATTTTTTAAAAAAATTTAACTTTACGCTGAACTAAAGACAGCCAACGAATCAAAGAGGGTTATAGCCATCCCGGCCGTTTTCGGCCCGGGTCAAAACGTTATGTATGCTACTCGATTTCGTGCCCCCACACCCTTGACGAGCGAGCCTTGCCCTCTTCTCTTCCCTTCTCTCCTACCGGCGGCAACTACCGGGAAGCCGCCGCCGACCGCCGGAGCGGAGTCGTCGCGGCGGCGAGGGCGAATCGGTAACCCCCCCCCCTCCGGAGTTCCGGGATGGGGACGCCGGAGTTCCCCAACCTGGGCAAGCACTGCAGCGTCGGCGACTGCAACCAGATCGACTTCCTGCCCTTCACCTGCGACCGCTGCGACCACGTACGTCTTTCCCGTCTCCTCCCCTGGCCGTTTTCGTGTCTCGGTGCCTCGTTGCCGAAATCGGATTTGCTGCTGCGGTAGTTTTTAAGGAAATTTGTTCTTCTGTAGATTGTGGAACCAAAGAACTGATTCTTCCTGGAATTTTTGCTTGATATACGGTTTCTTGAAGTAGATCTTGGAAAGCACCTAGTTTAGGGAAAATCTCGTCTGGGCTTTAGCCTTTAGGACAGTGATCCATCACAATCGAGGAGATGGAGAAGGGAAATTCATGCCAATGCCTAGGCAGCACGAATGGAGATCTTTTTTTGACCGTTTGGTGGATGAGAGTTGATGTGTCTATCGTTGACCGAGAACATGATGACCCTTTCGGTGATGCTCTTGCAGTTTTGCGCCCTTTTGGATAATTAGTTTCATCTACTAATTGAATGCTATGTAGCCAATCACATAATTGGTCAGAATTGTTGCTTCAATAAGAATGAAATTGATCTCAGACAAAATCTGAAACTGGGCTTAAGAATGCAATGGGTATGGTTTCAAATTTGGAACGGGGAAAAGGAGGATTTAGTTGACAAGGAGTCCTTCATTGTTAGCTTGTTGCCTATGGTTGAATGCACATAATGATAGGAAAAAAAGAACTGAAAAACAGTAGTGGAAGTGTGGTATTTATTCACAATGCCATTCATATCTGTATTTTGTGCCAGAAACATGCCCTCTAGTCATTGTACTGTTTCTTTGTTGCCCTCTAGTTTCTTTCGTTGACATCACAGCATGCAGCTCCACTGGAATCATGACACTCTGGAATTACACACCATATAGGAGTATGCGTTATTGCAGTGTTCAAGCATAACTCATCCTGAGTAGCACTCCAAGGTCTTGAGTTCAAATCTCCATAGGAGCAAATTTCAGATTGGGTTATTTGAGGGCTAAGTTCCCTGTTTGATAGGCTAAGTTCCTAATTTAAAAGGCTGCATATATCCGGTTGGATGTAGAGGCCGGATAAAAAATACCCTTCTCTAAAAAAAAAAGCATAACTCATAGACATTTTGGGTTCAAAATTTTTCCATAATTTATTATTTTTGAATCCTTTCCACTTCATGGCTTCCCGAATGTAAAGTAACATTGCATCAACATCCAATTGGCAGCACTGACATGGTTATTTGATCATTGTTTAGGTCTTTTGCCTTCAGCACCGAAGTTATACATCGCATCAGTGTCCAAATGCAAATCAGAAGGATGTGACTGTCCTCATCTGCCCACTCTGTGCTAAAGGAGTTCGCCTGAACCCGAACGAAGATCCAAACATCACCTGGGACACCCATGTCAATAGTGACTGTGATCCATCAAATTACCAGAAAGTAACAAAGAAAAAGAAATGCCCAGTGCCTGGGTGCAGAGAGACACTGACATTTTCAAACACAATTAGATGCAAAGATTGCACCAAAGAACACTGCCTGAAGCATAGATTTGGACCTGATCACAAGTGTCCAGGGCCAAGAAAACCGGAATCTACATTCCCCTTCGGAAATATGCTTAGGAGAAGTCAGAAAGCAGAATCATGTTCAAATTCAAACAGCAGTAGCACTAGTTCATCCTGGTGGAGCTCTAGTCTTCTTACCGCAGCAACGAGTTTCAAATCATCTGCTGAAGCTGGGATGCAGAAATTGAGCACAGCAACTACCCAAGCCATCCAGAAGGCTAAGGATGGGATCTCGACAAGCAGCAGTAACAGCGGTGATCTCGTGGAGCAATGTGTTCAGTGCCCAGCAAGATTTTCCACCGTGGGGGCCTTAATCGAGCATTGCGAAAAGTCCCATCAGAGCAACTCGCAATCAAGTCGTAGCAGAGTGACGGTCGATGTCTGCCCGAAATGCAGCAAGGCATTTCGAGATCCAGTGTTGCTTGTGGAGCATGTTGAGAGGGACCATGGAGGAACGTCAAGAGCGTAGATCTGCTTATGTTTACTGTACCTGTGTAACCTGTAATTTGCTTCTCATTGGTCAATGGTCATCACACTCAATAGGATTTGGTTGGATTGTGCTCTATTATTACGGTTGGGTTCAAAATGTGCCCATGAAAGAAGGTATAGTTTGTTGGCTGTTTCAAGGCAAGCCATTGTGAATTGAACCTCATTCTAGACACCAGGAAATCAAATTTCTGATTAGTTAAAACAATGCGTCGTTTAGATGGCTATGCTGTTGCAAGTTACAAATATTGCCTTCTACCAGTTTGTTAATGGTGAAATGGAATTCATAACCTCACCGTGCATGCACAGGAATCCACTGTAGTTACATTACCTGTCACCATTGACAACCCTTGCAACAGGGAACATCATCCTTTGGTCTGCTGAATAAAGGCGAAGGATTATTTTCACATGGTTTGCATCCCAGATGCTAATTGAACACTGAGAGAAACGTGAGTTTCCCAATGGTTAAAACCACGTAAGAAATTTCGAATTTGTCCCTAAATTGGACGTCTTTTAGCCGTCTAAAATCCTTTTTGTTCAACGGATTTGGTCGAGATATAAGCCGAAAAACAAATAGTGAAACGCGTTCCTGAAGCCCATCAAAGCAAACCTGCCTCGAACACCTTGGATCCTGTGACCCGGCATCGTTACGACGCTCTAGGAATTGCGAAGACGAATGGCCATGATGTTGTGGTGACGAACGGCTGCTGTTGCTGTAAAATCAAATTGTTTTTTATTCTTATTCTGCGATGAACAATTGGCATCTGAGATTATTGATTTTGACATTTGAAGATTATTGGCGAAGTGGTTTTGGAAATAATTGATTTTCAGATGATGAACAAGGTTTGTTGTTTTGTCGTGTCCGGTCAGACCGGCCAGGTGCTCTGTGTCGACTCTGTGTCGACTTCGGGTTGTTTGTTTAGAAATCCGTGGATGTTTCGTGTTTATGGCTTCTAGATGGATCCTATGTGTATGTAATACTGTTGTTTGCTAACAATGAGTCAAGTTGAAAATAGCTTGGTCTTGGAATATGGTTTCCTTGTTTGATTCATGTGTAGGTGACCTGATGCCTCAGAAGAGTATAGTCGGTGATGGATCGGGAGTCGACTTGGAGATAAGGCGACGTCCGGACGATCGGATATCATGCGGGATACTTAGGCTAAAGATCAATGCACGTGGTTGGTGAATATTCCATATGACATACGATGGAGATATTGTGTGCGTATGGGATGCGGAGGCCATTCCAGGGCTGTCGAACCGGGCGGATCTATACCGGTCAGACCGGCGGCACAAGCACGATCAAACTGGCAGATCAACCTCGATTAGACCGATCTATATCGAAATTGAGGGTAACTTTTAATTCCGCTAAAAATTTTGGTTTTTGGGTACACCAACCATTCACCCCCTATGGTTGACTTAATTCTTTCTACGGAGTTGCTAGAAATATGGCGTCATATGCTACAGTCGATTTTTTTTCAGCCACTTACACAGTAGTTACACCTCATTTACATCCTACTTACATATGTAATTACTATGTAATTTTTGAATTTACATATGTAATTTTAGTACTTACACATGTAATTTTGAGACTTACATTGTAAATACATTAAAATTAGATATGTAATTTAGGGACTTACAATGTAAATACATGCCGACTATTTTTTTTTGATGAAAATATAGTGCCATAAATATAGCTACACCCTTCTTTCTATTCGATCCTACAGTTGTGAGGGTGACGCGCGCCGATACTGGCGGCAAGCTAGCAAATCAGAAGTCCGGCGATGGCATCCAAGCGGGAAATCAATGTCCAAAATCCGGCAACAAGGACAATAGAAAGGTCTTGGTTAGTGTGCTTGACTAGGTTGCCGTTGATTTGTGTTTTGACTTTTGAAAAGACTACTGTTACTAGGTTATTCCCCATAGTGTGTGCAGTCGCAGCGAGGAAGATTGGCCATTTCTTTGCGTGGCTCAGTCATTAGTTAGTGGATCTCAGGAAGAAAGGGGAGTGTTCTGTACAGGGTGAAATTACATCAACTACTGAAAAAAAAAATCCACCTCTCTGAATACGCCCGCCATCTTCCATCTCCTTGATGTCCCCAAACATCCGAAGTGGCGTTCGCGCTTTCTGATTGAAGATCATTTCGTTCCTTTCGTTCCACACCGCTCAGGTTACCAGCGTCAAGTTACATTTGTTTTGGACCTCTAATTGTTTCTTGAATTCTCTTCTCCTAGTCAGATATCGCTGCCGCCATTAATTTGTTCCCCCCTTTGGGAAAAAAAAATATTTTGAGCTTGTGCCAAGTTAGTCATGGGTGCCAAGAGGAGCTCAATGATCCCCGCACTCTTGCTCCTCGCTTCCTTGTCCATCTTCAAGCTACCTTGCTTCTCCAGATCACTCTCTTTCAGCTACGATTTCTCCAAGCCCACCACTTTCAATCGTTCCGACATCGCAATAGATGGATCCGCGAGTCTCAATGGTCTCATCGAGCTCACGCAGAACGCTGACCCGAAACGTGAAGGCATATACGACACGGTGGGCCGAGGGTCCTACGGCCATCCGGTGCCGCTCTGGGACGAGGCCACCGGCGAGGTGACGAGTTTTACGACGCGCTTCTCGTTCGTCATCAAGTTTAACTAGTCAGACAAGGCCAAGTACGCACCCAGCGACGGGCTTGCCTTCTTCCTGTCACCCTATCCGTCAAAGATGTCTCCACTCGACGGCGGTGGATTGCTCGGCGTCTTCACCAACAGCACTGGCATGAATCCGTCCGCCGCCGCCCCGATCGTCGCGGTGGAGTTCGACACGTTCCAAAATGAGTGGGACCAGAGCAGCGACCACATCGGCATCGACGTCAACTCCATCAACTCGACCGCGGTGAAGTTGCTGTCTGACCGCAGCCTCTCCAACGTCACCGAGCCGATGGTTGCGTCGGTGAGCTACAACAACAGCACAAGGATGCTGGCCGTCATGCTGCAGATGGCCCCCCAAGATGGCGGCAAGAGGTACGAGCTCAACAGCACGGTTGACCTCAAGAGCTTGCTCCCCGCGCAGGTGGCCATCGGATTCTCGGCGGCGAGCGGGTGGTCCGAGGAGCGGCACCAAGTACTCACCTGGTCTTTCAATTCGACATTGGTGGCGTCTGAAGAACGGAGAGAAAACGCAACGCGAGGTAGGCCGGCCGCTGCGGTGCTTGCAGGTGTCGTTGTAGCATCCGTCGTCGTCGTCGGGGCCTCGATCTGTTTGTTTGTAATGATCAGGCGGCGTAGGATATCTCGCCGGCGGACGAGAGAAGAGTACGAGATGGGCGGCTCCGACGACTTCGACATGAACGATGAGTTCGAGCAAGGCACCGGTCCGAGGCGATTTCTGTACAGCCAACTGGCCACCGCGACGAACGACTTCTCCGAGGACGGGAAGCTCGGGGAGGGTGGCTTCGGGTCGGTGTACAGGGGCGTCTTGAGCGAACCGGCCGGCGTCCACGTCGCCGTCAAGAGGATCTCCAAGACCTCCAAGCAGGGGAGGAAGGAGTACGCCTCCGAGGTGAGCATCATCAGCCGCCTCCGGCACCGGAACCTGGTGCAGCTCGTCGGCTGGTGCCACGGCCGCGGCGACTTCCTCCTCGTCTACGAGCTGGTGCCCAACGGTAGCCTCGACGCGCACCTCTACGGCGGCGGCGCGACGCTGCCGTGGCCGACCAGGTACGAGATCGCGCTCGGGCTCGGCTCGGCGCTGCTCTACCTGCACTCCGGCTACGAGAAGTGCGTGGTGCACAGGGACATCAAGCCCAGCAACATCATGCTCGACTCCGCCTTCGCCGCCAAGCTCGGCGACTTCGGGCTGGCGAAGCTCGTCGACCACGGCGACGCCTCGCAGACGACGGCGGTCCTGGCGGGGACGATGGGGTACATGGACCCGGAGTACGCGGCCTCCGGCAAGGCGAGCACCGCGTCCGACGTCTACAGCTTCGGCATCGTGCTGCTGGAGATGTGCTGCGGGAGGAGGCCCGTGCTGCTCCAAGAACAATCCATCAGGTCCCGCCTCCTCGAGTGGGTCTGGGACCTCCACGGCCGCGGCGCCATCCTCGAGGCGGCCGACGAGCGGCTGCGCGGCGGCGAGCTCGAGCTCGACGCGAAGCAGGTGGAGTGCGTGATGGTCGTGGGGCTCTGGTGCGCGCACCCGGACCGCGGCGTGCGGCCGTCCATCAAGCAGGCGCTCGCCGCGCTCCAGTTCGAGGCTCCGCTGCCGGCTCTTCCTCCGACGATGCCCGTGCCGACGTACTCCTCCTTGCCGAGCCTTGCATTGTACTGCGACGCGGCGGCAGCTAGCTCGTCGTCATCCAGTGCAGGGTTTTCTTCTTCCACGAGTGGCGAGCGTTCGTCGACGAGCTCCTCTGCAGCAACCGCCGAGTCGTCGTGGCTACTTAAGCACAACAACAGGGGCAGTGAAAAAATAGTATTAGGCAACAATTGATTAGATCATATCTTTAGTTTGATGCCACCTTGATGTTGCTTAGCTCTTCGTTGTTTATGTGTATTGTTCTTCCTTGGGCCGCCGTGTCATTTGTGATATGTACCTCAATTCATATCTCCTTTTCTATATATGCGTTTTCAACTTTCCTAGTATAGCCTGCTATCTTTGATCTTAATTGAATGTCACAAGCCGAGTCACTGTTTCGCGAAACGACATATTTGCAAACGAAAAGTAATTTGTGAATAAAACTTTTATATACGTGTTCTTTGCGATCTAAAAGTAAAGGCTAAAAAATAATTTCGATGAAAAAAATTTCTCAAAATCAGTTTCAAATTTAAGGTTGAAAATTCAAATTTTGACTAATAATTATAAGCATAAGCGAAAAGACGAGGAGCATAAGCATAAGCAAAAATTCAAATTTTGGCGGGACAAAGGATTGCGATCTCGTGAAGGTGAGCTAACTCCAAAAATCCGTCCTCGGTTCGGATTGTAGGTTGCAACTCATTTGCATGAAGCAGGAATCGCTAGTAATCACCGGTTAGCCATACGACGGTGAATCCGTTCGACACAACGCCCGTCACACTATAGAAGTTGACTATGTTTGAACTCATTAACCTTAACCATAAGAAGGAAGATGCCTAAGGCTAGGCCTTTGACTAGAGTGAAGTTGTAACAAGGTAGGGCATGTCTGGGGGAGCTTCTGGCAGCTGTAGTTTCTCTCAGAATCAGAAGCTCTACCTAACAATTCAGTTTTTTTGTCCAATTTCTGAGAACCTATAATTGTAGAATCTAGAAAAATAAACTAGAAGCTAGAAGCTGAAAAACTCCAGACTCTCAGAAGCTGGAAAACTTCAGACTCTAAGAAGCTGGCTATGAACCAGCTGCTTATAATTTTAAGCTCCCCAAACAGGCTCATAGTCGTACTGGAAGTTGCAGCTGGATCACCTCCTTTTTCATGAGCTAATACTTACGTATTTTGGTTTGACATTAATTGCTTCATGCCCAAAAGGAAGGCAGCTACGTTTGAGCTAAATTTGGATATGGAAGTCTTTTTTCGTTTAGGGCAAAGTACGACCAAGCTCATGAGCTTATTATCCTATATCGGAACAATTACTAGTTGATATTGATAGGATCTCCTTTTTAATGGCCCCACACCCTCCTGTGTGGTGTGTGCGGTGTGGCAGATGGGGATATCAAAAGGAAAGGGATAGAGTTTTTCTCGTTTTTGGTATAGCATACCTTCTTTTGGGAGGCCTGCAGCCCCACACAATGAGCTCCCTCATAATTGCGTCGTTGTGCCTAGGTAAGGAATTTTGAATTTTTTTTCTCTGAATTGGACATCTTTAAGCAGTATAAAATCTTTTCTGTTCAAAAGAGCCGAAACAAAAACTGTTCGAGATATGAGCCGAAAACCAAAAGTGAACCCGTTCATGAAGCCCATCAAACGCATGCAGCTTAACCTCGCCTGATTCAGCAGCCCAGTTGAAGGTCTTCAAATCGTAGGATTTGAACCCTCGTGATGAATCCACAAGGTGATCTCCCGTGTGTGTTAGACTGTTAGTCACCCTTGGTGCCAGCAAAAGGAAAATGAAAAGGTCATTGTACAAGGGCCCAAAAAATATAAGAACAGTTGAAGCAGAGAAGTATGAACATATATCCACAAAAAGTTCCTTTAAGAATGATATAGATGATCGTGATTAGAACCCACAAAGTGATCGCCAGGAGAATTGAAAGGTCTAGGCTTGACTAGTGTATCGAAAGAAAACTGTGGAAATATAGATGTATCAACATATGCCCACAATAAGAACGATCGAAATTACGTGTAAAGATTATTCTTTCGAAATTTGCAAGCATAAAAAAAAAAAAGACCTATAGCTTCATCTGACCAACACCTCCCTTGAATGAACCGTATAAAGGTCTCGACCTCCTGAAGCTGAATATATCGGTTATTTGATACGAGTGCGGCTGTGGCTCATCGTGAACTATCTTTTCGTACTCGGAGGAATGGAGACCGCCGTAAACTTGAATGCTAAGAATTTTCTTTTGTGGTGCATTAACTTTGACATGATTATTGAAGAACTCAATCAACTCCTCTTTATTGAGATCCCTCAGTGCAGCAACCTGCAGCAAGAGAACTCCAGGTATAAAAAAAAATGACACCATAGGGACAAAATTACAGAAATAGAGCATACCTCCGCCTCTTTTCTATCAAATTTCAGAGTTCCTTCCGAAATTTCTTTCCAGAAGAACGCTGATTCCTCTCTTATATTCTTGTATTTCTCCAGCTTCATGTCAATGAGAGCATTCACGTTGCTCTGCAGGTAACAGAAGTGACTGTTTACTCTGTATAATGTCAAGTATACAACCATACAATAGAGCTACAGCAACCTTCGGCCGACCCGGCAAAAGAGCTACAGCAAGCTATAACAGAAGCCAACAAATACTGACAGCAATCATCTTACCTTGAACTCTTCATCAGGCATTTGGTATAGAGTCCCTTCAAACATATTAAGAAAAGCTTCCACTCTGTCATCCAGGTTTGATGGATCCTGTTTAAGTAACTTCTTAGAACAGGAGATAAAAATGATCCAGCAGTTGAAATTGCATTGGAAAATATATTTACCTTCACGGTTGACTGAATTATGAATTGCAATCCCCGAACACCTGAATCATTTCTGGGTAAACAAGATAGTGTGAACAAAGATTTAGAGGAGTTGCATGAGCATGACTACTAAGTCCCATTACCACATACCAATGCAAAAAAGTGCTGCACATCCTTTTGCAATAAAGAACACAATTAAAATAAAGGCAACATCGTACCTTTGTGTAAGCACTGTTATGTAGCCAAGTTGCTCAACTGAACGCAATTGGTGAAAAGCTGGTTGCTTAGCAACAAGAGCAAGCAATTGAAGTAGAACATTTTGTTTGAGATCATCCTGATGAATCTGTGCAGTGGAAACATTGTTATAGCATTGAAATGTGTATTGCAGGTATCTTCCAGGAAAAACTAGATATGGTTGATGAGAGGCTAGAGTAAGAAAAAAAACTGGATGTTCAGGTATTCTTCTGTAAATGCAAAAGAGGTCCACAGAGAAAACATCAAAGAAGTGCAAAGGCATACCTGAATATAATGCAGGATGGAAGAATTTTTTTCATCCTGGTGATTTAGGCACAATGCTGGATAATAATACCTCCAACCCCTTTCAAGTTTTACAATTCGCTTTGTAAGATGCTGTGATGGGGGTAATGCTTTGCAGAAACTGATGGGTGCATTGAATAAGGTGTCTTCAACATGCTGTATAACACTTTTTGCTTCACCCGGTTCCATGTTCCCTAATATAGTAATATCGATCACATACAGAATTAAGAACATAAAATAAGTACACCCTTCTTAATGAGAAAGAATCAAAATAATGAAGTTAGTTATTAAACAAACCAGCAAAATAGCATTCAATAAATGTCTTGCCCAGAAGACGAGGCAAAAAAATCTGTAGATCGCTTGCTTCAATATGAGAAACTGCAGCAAGTTTTTCATCCCATGCCCAAGTTTGTTCCTCTAATATCAATGAACAATAGTAAAATGCCTGCTCATATGGTTGTCGAAATTTGAAATTCTCGTAGTCCTTTATTATAGTTTCCTGATGACAGCAACAAAATATGAACACACGCAGCTCATGTAATGTAAAATGCATAGAATGCTAAGTTAATATTGCATAATCAGGAAGATAGAAGGTACGCTAGACATCCTAGGCAGACACTCTTTTGTCCTTCAAGACATCCTAGGCAGATAGAAAGTACGCCATATTTAATCCAATTAGAATTCTATAGATAGAAATGCATATATTAGGAAATATCACAACTGTTGTTTATAGCTTTTTAGTCCCGTTTCTGCACTGTTTTTTCCTAAATGAAAGTAGCTCATGCTTCTGACAAGGAATCTCCTGACTGTTTTATACATGTCCAAATGACAACCAAAACAAAAATTCTAGCAGGTCTGCAGAAGATATTTTAACAAAGAACCACATGTAAACTGAGCATGGCCGTTACCTTTATAACAGCAAAACGGTCAACCTTCACTTCAAACTCAGCAATTTTTCCAATGACAGTATCCAGAAGGGTTCTCATTTTGTCATTATAACCGACCATAGTTATCTGTAAGGAAATCATAAATATTGGACGGTTAGAAAATAAGAAGATTTCATAAGGAAAAGTCTCATAACACGCCATGAATTATGACTCGTTTAGAAGGAACAGTTGAGTGATAGATCGCAATTTACAAACATACATAACAAAGTTTTACAAACATGCAACACACCAACAGTGTCAGCCACTCAGCCTGCTACCACACAGTATACATGAAAAAGTAACAGGGATTAGGTAATATTGACCATTTAATCTAATATAGAATATAATGCCATTTGTATATGCACATATGAAAAAAGAAAACAAATGGAGAAAAAGCTGCTGTAAGACTGTAACTTATGAAAGCACATAGCCATGTACATCTTCTAATTACAGTACTAATGATGTCTTTATTGCAAACTAGTCCAGTTAAGAAAATGTACATCTGAACCAATATGTGGAAAATAGTTCCAAGTGTCAAGACTGATGATAGCCTACTTCTTGCTTCTATATGCAACAGGAATCAGGATTTTAATATTAAAGATTAAATGAGAATCGAATGGCAAGCATCTGCTTATTAGTAACACATATTACCATTTTTTTCATACTTGCGCAAATACAGTATGTGTTTAATTAGGAGAAACAAAAAAGTTTGAGTATAGAAGCGCTATCGGTATTGATACATATTGACTGAAGAGCTTGGTGTCATGGTGTGCATCATGCATGGGTTATGCGCATCAGATGGAACACATTGTATGAATATATGATGCAGGAAGGCCTGCACCATAGTACGATTGTCACATGACAACCATATCAGCAGCATGCAACAAGTACCAACATAGATGGGTATAAGAGTGTTCGTACTGGTTTAGGTGAAAACATGGCTAAAGGCAACTAACATGATGAATAAAGTAGGTGGTATAAAATTATTGTGTAGTTGGCAATGGGCATGTGGTATGTGCCACACCACACAAGTTTAATGTCAGTGGAAAACCTTTTATTTGGTAACTTCCAAGCTGCGATGCAATAA